CCATCCCAGTGTCCCCATCCCGACTCTGGGAGCACGGGAAGCTTCCCAGCTCCCTGATTTCCTCCCTCTGGATCTGCTCCAGCTTTTTCTATTTCTGGACTCCATTCATCCCCAGCCGGCTTTCCATAAAAATTCCCGGTGCCTCCAGCCTGGCAGCCGGGAAAAACCTCCAGGAGCCCATAGGAAGCAGCAAAGCCTCCGGATCCAGCGCTCCAAAATTATTATGGAATGAGGGAGTGGAGAGGTGATGTCAGCCTGGATTTAGGGTGGATAATGCATCCCTCTGTCCCGGCTCTTCCCAAAAATTCACCACAATCGCAGAGGGAGAAACTTGGGAATATTCAGGGATTTCACAGGGAGCTGTTGCTGCCTCCCCTCTATTCTGTATTCCCAGCTCTTTCCCTTTCCATCAGTTTTGGGATACAGAGCTCCCAGCAAGGAGAACCACACCTTATTCCCAGCCCAAATTCCCATGGAATTCTCTTCCCTGCGCCCCTTTGGGGTTTCCAAGTTGGAAGTCCAAGCTCATCCATTGCCGTTGAATCCAGCAGGATTCGGGCAAATTCCACGTGCAATATTTCAATATTAATCAGGATTCAGAAGCTGGGAGGAAATTTTCCAGCAGATTTACGGGAGGGAATTGCCTCATCATCCCCAAATTCCTCAGGAGCTGAGGATCCTTGAGGCAGGGACAAGAATAAATTCATGGAATGGGAAGAGGGGCCGGATCCGCTTCTTATCCCGCTCCACAATCCCAGGATCCCCGAGCTTTGGGACACCGTGGTTATCCCCCATCCCTGCATCCCGATCCCCTCATCCCAGTGGGAATTTTTTGGAGGAGCAGACACAGGAGCATTGAGCAGGGCTTGGAATGTGGCAGCGGCTGCCAGAGCCCAGGAGCTCCCGGGAAAAGCGCCAGGCCAGGGAATAAGGAACTGCAGTGTGGATCCCAGACTGGATAAACACATCCCAGCTCCCAGCTGGCATCGCCAATGAGGCCCTGACCTCCGGCTCCACTTCCCGCCGGGAAAGGGAAACAAAGCACGTTTTCCAGGTTTTCCATGGAGAAAACAGCAGGAAAACACCCTGAGGAGCAGCCAAGCATCCAAACACATTCAAAACTCCAAGCTTCCCGAATTTTTGGGGGGAGATATTCACTTTATAAATTCCCAAAGTGGATAAATCTTTTTTTTTTTTTTTTTTTTTTAACCTTAGCATTCATCCCCAAAATATTTCTGGGAATTCCTTTACTCCCCAAAATAATTCCTGATTTTTTTTTTTTCCCCTCAGGAGGGAGCAGAAAGCTCCAAGTTAAGAAGGGGAATACTTGAGAAGTTTCAAGGTGTTTTTTTTTTCCAGGAAGACGAGGTCAGATTTTAGCCAAGAACCTGTTCCCAACAATTCCCCCAAAAAATGGAGGTTAAGGAGTAAAAAAAAAATAAAATAAAAAAAAAAATTAAAAATTGGCTTTTCTGGAATTTGGGAAGGATCTTATTCCCACAGTTCTTGTCTTTTCTGGGAACGCCTTGGGATTTTAATTAGAGTTTAAAATTTCCCAAGCGTAAAGATCGAATATTTCCAAGCATCCCAAATCCCAGGATTTGGCGGCTCCCAGGAGAGGGCAGCAAATCTCCACGTTTCGGGCTTTCCTTGGGAAAATCGGGAAAGAGCGGACGGGGGGGGGGAGAAGAAGGCGGGGAAATTTGGGAGCAGCCCATGGAAGTGGGGCTGGAACACCGTGTCCTTTAGGATCCCTTCCAAATATTCTGGGATTGCGTGGAATTCATGGATTCCGAATTGTTGGAGACCCGGGGAAGATCCAAGGGGTGGAAAAAGGGTTCCATAGGAGATTTACCTGGAAAAGGGGAGCAGGACGCTTTAAATGGGAATTTCTCCAGGAAAATCCCAACCCGTTTAGGGGTTCATTAATTCCCAACATCCATAGGTTCCTTCTCGCTTTTTCCCCCTTTTTCCAAGTCCTTGGAGTGGATTTGGGATCCAGCCCGGGTGAGGGAGCAGGACAGGCCCCCATGGACAGGGATAATGGGAATAAAGAGGAAAATTAACTGAATTCCTGGATAAGGAGAGCTGAACAATTCCCTTGGACACCGGGAAAAAACACTTCCCACTAAATCCCAGGATGGTTTCCTTGGAATTCCTTGACTCAGAGGCTCCCTAGAAAACCCGGACCTTAAAATCCCAGAACTGCCGATCCCAAGACCTGCAGATCCCTTGGGATGCACCGAGCAGATCCCAGTTTTCCCTCGGCGTCAGAGCAGGCTCCGAGGTTGGGATCTGGGGCAGCTCCTGAGGGTGGGATTGAGGAGAATCCCAGGATTTTTTCAGGAGTTGGGCTCTTTGAGGGTCCTTTCCTTGTGGGGATATCCCAGGATTTTATGGGACGGGAAGAAAGCCGAAGCTTCCTAATCGCAGCATCCTTATCCCGAATCCTGGAATTGCTCCCCTGGAGCCAAGGTTGTTCCTGCTCCTCCCAACCCAGAGTTTTCCGTGGAGTTCTGGGATCACGGCGCGGCTCCAATCCACGGCAGAGTTTCCTCCTTTACAGTAAAGGAGCCTCTGAAGGTTTCCTGTTGCTCCAGGGGGTGGAGGGGGCCCATGGAATCTGCTTCCATTGTTTAATTCCGTGTTTTCCTGTCTCCTGCTGCAACGGGAACGCCCGGAGCTCCTGGGCAGGCACCCGGGAATTTCTGTGTCAGCACAGCCGGGACCCCATTGTCCTTTATCCCTCTGGAACACCCCATGGAATTGGGGGTGGAGATGGGGTGCCAGCATTCCCTGGATCCTGGGTATTCCCAGAGGGATCAGTGCCAGCTGCACCATTCACCACGGTCATGGATTTAAGCGGCGAGGAGAAAATCCACCTGTTTTCCCAGGATTTCCGAGCCCATTCCCAGGAGTATCAAATGGATGTTTATCCCTATTCCCATCCTGACAGTCAGGCCCCAAATGGGCTCCTTCAGCCAGCTCCAAGCTCCCAAAAAATTCCCAGTACTGTGGTTTTGGGATGACTGAGGCGAGTTTGCTCCATCATTTCCTGGCCAGGGTCAAGATAAACTGGAGCAGCTGAGGGAGAAAGGAATGTTGGGAAAAAAAGGATGATCTGGGGGGGGTTTCATTCCCTAAAACTCCGTGACAGGAATTAGGTGGGAATTGCCCTCTGCTCCCAGGGAATAATAGACGGGATAAGAGGGAGCTTTAGGTTGGATATGGGGAAAATTTCTCTCCCAGGGCAGTGGTGGACTCCTTATTCCAGGAGGGATTCAACTCCATGTGGATGTGGCACTGGGGGACATGGATCAGTGCTGGATTCACATTGGATTCCATGATTTTGGAGGGCTTTTATTCCACGACTCTATTACTCTTTGATTCCATGATTCCACAATTCCATGATTCTGTGATTCCATGACTAGGGCTGAGCTGGGATAAGATTCCCTGGATCCCTCTCATCCAAAATAAAAACCCCCAAACCCAGCAACTGATTAAAAAAAAAAATAAACACCCCAAAAGAGCTGAAAGATGGAATTTCCTCCCATTTTTACTCCTTGCACCCCCACTTCCAGCAGAAACTCCGACCTGGGGAGGAATTCCCGGTGGGTTTGGATGTGGGGCCAGGCCTGGCTGATCCTCACCCCTCCGAACCAGGAATGTTGGGATGCGGTGCCGCAGGGAAGGAAGGACCCGGGGGCCCTGCAGGGCTGGGAAGGAGCGCAGGGAAGGCGGGAATGCGCGGCAGGAATGCGGGATGAGGGATGCGTTGCCAAGGCAACCATTCCTTCTCCATCACCCGCCTTCCCCCGGAGCCGCGGGGGATGCGAGGGCAGGGTGCGGGATTTGGGATGCGGGATTTGGGATGCGGGATTTGGGATACGGGGATTTGGGGGGAGGAGGGGGAGGGATCGGGCTGCGGATCCCGCCCTCCGCTGGAGCGGGAATGCTCCGGCCGGGAGCCGCAGGACAGCGCAGCCCCGCGGGAGGAGGGCGGAGGGCACTGCGCTGTTTTCCAGCGGAAATCCTGGAGCAGAAAGTTGCGCCGCGTTTCTTTTTTCATGGAAAGCCGATGCCTGCGGCGTAGGGATGCGGGAGAGGGGGAAGATCCCGCGTGTCCATCCCTGCCCTGTGTTCCGCTTTAAAAGGTCCGGATCTTCCCGGTCATCTGATCCAGGTCAAGCAGGACTTTCCATCGGCGGCGGATCCCACCCGAGCATCTTCCCTCAGCGGCCGCTTCCCCCCGGCAGGAAGGCGTGAGGCTCCTGCAATCCCCGGAATACCGAGAGGTAAAATATTCCCGGCTGGCTTTCTCCTTGGCAGGGTGAATGAAATCCTGGAGATGTGCGGGGGCGCCTTAAGGTGGATGGCGTTGATTCCCTGGCTGGGCTGGGATTCATTCCTAGGCCGGGTTGGGATGGATTCTCGGTCCAGGTTGGGAATTAATTCACGGGCCGGGTTGGGATTAATTCCTAGGCCGGGTTGGGATTGATTCCCGGGCCAGGTTGGGATTAATTCCTGGGCTGGGTTGGGTTTGATTGCCAGGCCACGTTGAGATTAATTCCTGGGCCGAGTTGGGATTGATTCCCAGGCCATCCCAGGCTAGGTCGGGATTGATTCCCAGGCCATCAAAGGCCAGGTCGGGATTGATTCCCAGGCCATCCAAGGCCAGATCGGGATTGATTCCCAGGCCAGGCTGGGGTTCCCAGGCCATCCCACCCGGTTTGAGGTGCCCCACGAGGGGCCAATTCCCACCCCACAGCCTCTGAGATCCCAAAAATCCCAGGATGCTCCCGGGTAGCGAGGAACGACGTGGAGGCGTCCAGGCAGGGAGGAGGTTGATGGAGGGAGCCGAGGGAAGGTGGATGCGGGTTCCCGATGCCGGCGGAACGTGGGCGCCGGGATCCCCGCTCCCCACAGCCCTCACCCCTTGTGCCCCGCCCGCAGGTTGACCCCAGTGCCGGTGCTCTCCCGTCCATGGATCACCTGCCGCCATGAGCACGGACGCCGAGCAGCTCCTGGCAGCCGGAATTCCCCTCTGGAGCATCTCCAGCTGGGCCGGCTCGGAGCCGCCCCCCAACAGCAGCAGCAGCGGCGGCGGCGGCGGCGGCGGCGGCGTCGGCAGCGCGGAGGAGGCGGCGATGGCGCTGGCGGCGCCGGGCGAGGCCGGGCGGGCCCCGGAGCGCGGCGGGAGCGCGGCGGAGATCGCGGGCATGGTGGTGCTGCAGTGCGTCTACGGCCTGGTGTGCCTGCTGGGGCTGCTGGGCAACGCGCTGGTCATCTTCGTCATCCTGCGCTACGCCAACATCTACCTGCTCAACCTGGCCATCGCCGACGAGCTCTTCATGCTCAGCGTGCCCTTCGTGGCCACGGCGGCGGCGCTGCGGCGCTGGCCCTTCGGCCGCGCTCTCTGCCGGACCGTGCTGGGCGTGGACGGCCTCAACATGTTCAGCAGCGTCTTCTGCCTCACCGTGCTCAGCCTGGACCGCTACATCGCCGTGGTGCACCCGCTGCGCGCCGCCTCCTACCGCCGCCCGCGCGTCGCCAAGCTGGTCAACGGCGGCGTGTGGCTGCTGGCGCTGCTGGTGGCCTCGCCCATCCCCGTGTTCGCCGGCACGGCGGTGACCCGCGACGGCCGCGCCGTGGCCTGCGACCTGCTGTGGCCCAGCCCGGCGTGGGCGGCCGCCTTCGTGGTGTACAGCAGCGCGCTGGGCTTCGTGCTGCCCGTGGTGGCCATGGCGCTGTGCTACCTGCTGCTGGCCGGCAAGATGCGCGTGGTGGCGCAGGGCGTGGGCTGGCAGCAGCGGCGGCGCTCCGAGGGCAAGCTGACCCGCCTGGTGGTCACCGTGGTGGCCATGTTCGTGGTGTGCTGGCTGCCCTTCTACGTGGTGCAGCTGCTGGAGCTGCTGCTGCCCGGCCGGCTGGACGCCAGCGCGCACAACGCCTCGCTGCTGCTCAGCTACTCCAACAGCTGCGCCAACCCCATCCTCTATGGATTGCTCTCCGAGAATTTCCGCCACTCCTTCCAGGGCGTGCTGCGCCGCTGCCGCGACGCCGGCCTGTGCTGCTGCCGCGCCGCCGAGGGCCACGGAGGGGACAGCGAGGATGAGGAGGAGCCGCTGGATTACTGCGCCGCGCCCCGCGGAGACGCCAAGGGCTGCGTGTGTCCCCCCCTGCCCTGCCAGCAGGACCCCCTGCGCCCCCAGCCCTGCTGCGCGCCCGGGGCCCTGCTCCCCAAAACCACCCCTTTCTAGGGGATCCCGAAAGCTGCGAGGAAAGGGGATGCCGGCTGGAGAGGGCCCGCCACGCCCCACACCGCCGGCCGCGCCGCTCTCCGAAATAAAAAAGCCATAAGACTGGCCTGGGATGGAGAGAATTCCATGGACTGAGTGGTTATTGGCGGTGTTCCGGCACGCGGGAGCCGTCACCGGGGATGGGGAGGATCCCAAAACGTCGTGGAGCACGCGGGCCCCCCGATTAATAGCTAATAAAGAGACGGGGAGACACCGGGAAAAATCCCAAAGCTGCTCAGCTCTGCTGCATCCGCAGCGGAACGAGATCCCATCACGCACGCGTCCTTGCCCAGAATTCCCAGGATTTTAGCGCACCCAGGACCAAATTTCCACCCAAAAAACCCAAACAAATAAACCCCAAAACCAGGAGAACCAAATTTTGGTGAGCTTAGAACCCCGGGGTGAGGAACAGAGCATGGAGGTCCCATGGAATGAGCCGCTTCCAGCTGATTTGGGGTTTAGACGGTTTCCTCCCATTTTAATGGCACTGGGGAAGTACCAGCCGGGAATGTTTTCATCCCGGTGCTGCCCTGGATGCTCCGGGGTTTTCCCGGATTTCTGGAGGAATTTCTGGGAAAGGGGAGAAAGAACATTCCCTGAGCAGTTCCTCTAAACCAGACTGGCAAAGCTTTATTGGTGTCCACACAGGATCTCCACGAGACAATTCCAGCACACGGGGTAAAATTCCAATAAATAAATAAGGATTTACAAATCCCGGGGGCCCGGGAGTGGGGGTGGGGGATAAAACAGGGAGCGCCGGGAATTCAGGACTCCGTAAGGAAGGAATTTGTGATAAGATAAAACTCCGCAGTGGGAATTTGAGATAAGGGGGGGAGGAGGAGATTTTGGGGGTGTGGTGGCAAAACCTCGGATCCACCCAGGAAGGAGCTGGGCTTCGAGCTGGATAACGTCCACTCTCAAACCTTTTCCTTTCTTTCCCTTCCTTTCCCTCGGATATTTTCCCAAGTGACACCTTTATATTTTGATATCTCTTTCTGGATAAGCACGGGCTAATTATGGATAATCGCAACAGCTCCCTCCTTCCCACTGCAGCCAAACTGTCCCAAAATAAACCTGGCACATCCACGGATTTACAGCCCTCGCTCCATGTGGTTCCACTTTAATCCGTCCCAAGGGATCCGTGGACACGACCCTCCACTTACCCGGCCTTTGGGATAACGACCTTTTAGGAAAACCGCAATTCCTACAAAGCCAATATTTTGATTTTCCCGGGAATTTGCAGCGGAGGTTTAGCATTCCAGGGGAGACGCTGCATGCGTGCTGGGAAGCTCACAGGGCGGGAAGGGGGAATGTGGGGGGACAGAACCCCTTGGCCTTGATCCCAGGCTTCCAAGACTTCCCCGGCTCCGGGATAATATTTCACCGGCATAAAGCTGCCAGCCAACGTTCCTGCTCTAACGGCAGCTGGAGCAGGACCCCCTTTGGCTCCTCAGGGAAGGATGGAGCTGGAAAAGCAAATCCTTCTGCAGAATTCCGCCCCAGTCCGTGGCTGGGAATGAGCGGCGCGCTGGATCCCGCCCCGTGGGAATGTTTTGCCTTGGGATAGAGTCAGCCCTGCACGAGGGAACAGGGAAAAATCCCTGTGGGCAGGAGGCCTCGTAAAAATACCCCAAATCCAACAATTTCAGGCAGCAACAGCGGGAAGTTACGGAAGGAGCTGGGTGAGGCTCTGCAGCAATGCAAACCTTTCCCACGAAACCCACCCCGGCAGCCTTCGTGTCCCTGTTTAACCTCCACATCCCACCAAAAAAAATAAAAAATAAAAAATAAAAAAAGAGAGGGAATGGGAATGAGGAATCCGAATCCCACCTTGGTGACACCGAGCCGGGTCCCTGCTGTCACCAGTGGTTTAAGGTGACAAGTGCTTCCCACAACATCTTTGCTCCTCCCTCCCTCAGCCTAAAACAAACAAACCCCATCCCAAAGAAAAGCAGGAGCCTCCCAGCTCGGGAACACCATCCAGCCCGGGGGAGGGGGATTTGAGTCCTTCCAAAGTCCCCGTCTTGGTCACGGATTTCGAGTCACTTCCCCACGGAGCTGTCCCTCCTCGCGGTTTTTCCTCGAGGTTTTCCCGGCTCGGGAAAAGGGAAAGCTGAACTCCAAGGGAGCGGGAAAGGCGCAGCCTCTGGGTGTTCTGCGCTCTCCGGCGCCAGCATTCCAAGAGCCGGCCGGGTAGCAGCAGAGAGTATTTTCTGGGAGCGGGGTGATCACAGCTTTTCCCGGATGATCGTTCCCAAATTCCAGCCGGGGAGCAGCGGGACGGGGAGGAGCGGGGGGGAATTAAACGTCACCCAGTTCGGCCTGGCAGAGTCCGTCCTGTCCCGCTGTCCCTACGGCTTCTGCGCCGAGGGGACGGGCTGAAGCCCCAGCTCCTTCTCGCTGGGGCCGCTGTACTTGTAATCCATGGAGCCGTGGGAGCGGCAGCGCTTCCTGGCCAGGTGGAAGCCCAGGGCCAGCAGGGCCCCCAGGCTCAGCAGGGCACCCGCGGCGATGCCCACCAGCACCCCGGGGTGCAGCCGCTCCGCTTTCGGCGGCTGCCGGCTGGGCGCGGGCGTGGGCAGGACGGGCTCGGCATCTCCCGAGAACTCTTCCTCGCCGTCCCCGCCCAGGATGGGCACGCAGTCGGCGTCGCGGAGCTCGAAGCCCTGGGGACAGTGGCACTGGTAGCCGCCGGGCGTGTTGGTGCAGTTGAAGGGGCAGTGGTCGCTCTCGCACTCGTCTATGTCCACGCACAGATTCTCGTCGTCCAGCAGGAAGCCCTCGGGACAGTCGCAGCCCCCGCCGGCGTCGCACACGGCCGGGCACTCGGTGGTGTTGCAGTACAGGCGGCACAGGGTGGCGTTCCGCGGGTCCGGCGCGTAGCCCGGGTGGCAAGCGCAGCGGTAGCCCTGGGGCAACTCCTCGCAGAGCTGCTGGCACGGCGCCTTCCAGCAGAGCGGCAGGGGCTGGCAGCTCCCGTTCACCATGGTGTAGCCGCTGTGGCAATGGCACTGGAAGCCCCCCTGGGTGTTCACGCACTTCTGCTCGCACGGGCAGGGCTCGCTGGCGCAGTCGTCGATGTCCTCGCAGCTGACGCCGTCGGCCGCCAGCCGGTAGCCGGTGGCGCACATGCACACGAAGGAGTCCCCGGCCACCACGCAGTGATGCTGGCACTGCGCCCCCTCGCAGGGCGAGCGGCACCCGCGCCCGTCCGTGCCCAGCACGGTGCCCTCGGGGCAGGAGCAGCGCGGCCGCCCGCCCTCCTCCGCGCACGTCCCCGCGCAGCCACCGCCTCCCAGCCCGCACGGCCACGCTCCGGGAGCGTCGCGGCCCCAGCGCGGCCCCGCGCCTTCCCCATCCTCGCAGCGCAGCTCCAGCCCCAGCTCAGGGACGAAGGCGGCGCTGAGCGGCGGCAGCGCCAGGAACTCGGTTCCGCGGGCGCCGAACGGGGTGGCGTAGGTGACGGGGACGCCGGGCGGCGCTGCCAGGCGGGGACAGCTGCCTCCGTAGGTGTACTGGCACAGAAAGCCGTCGGCCGGCTCCTCGCAGCGCCGCTCCTCCCAGCGCAGCTCCCGGGACACGGTCACGCAGCGCTCTCCGCAGCGCTGCCCCGACGGCGCCCAGTTGGTGTAATCGGTGTTGCGGTCGCCCGTGACCCATCTGAAGCCTCGGAGCAGCCGGCTGGGCTCGGTGCACGACAAGGAGGGCGACAGCGACAGCCCCAGCCAGAGACGCCCCTCGCGGTTCTGCAGCAGCAGCGCGATCGCCTCCTCGGCCACGGTGGAGCGCACGGTCATGAGGTGCCCCCCGCCCCGCCCGCAGCCCTCGTTGGCTCCGGAGAAGGTCCGGGACGCCCAGAACACGGCGAAACACTCGTGCTCCAGGCACTGCGCGCCCGCGGGCGACAGCTCCCGGGGCTGGGCCAGCACCGCCGTCCCGAGCAGCAGCAGCAGCAGCGGCAGCGGCGGCAGCGGCGGTGGCCGCATGGCCCGCGGAGGGGGCGGCCGGCGGCGCCCGGAGCTGAGCTGGGGCCGCTCCTCCCGGCCGCCCCCTTTATAGCCGCCCCGGCGGGGGAAGGAAGCGCCCGCGGGGCCAGGAGTGACCGCGGCGGTGAATCCCGGCCGGGCGCTGCCCCCGCCCCCGCCCCGCCGGCCCGGGTCCCCTCCCGCATCCTCCCGGCGGCTCCGCCCCGGCGGGGCCCGCCCGGCAGCGCGGGGGGGGCCGGCAGCGGCCAGGGAACACGGGGAGAGCCTTGGGAAAAGGGGGAAACAGCAGCGGGATTCGCCAGGACGGGGGGCACGGGGTGGGAGCAGCGCCGGTGGGGATTGTCACCACGCTGGGATCTTCATCACCCCGCTGGGATCTTCATCATCATCCCACTGGGATCTTCATCATTCCGGGATCTTCATCGTCTCGCTGGGACCATCATCATCCCACTGGGATCTTTTTTCATCCCGGTAGGATCATCATCATCATCGTCCCACTGAGATCTTTGTCTCACTGGGATCTTCGTCACCCCGCTGGGATCTTGATCATCCCGGCATCTTCATCGTCTCGCCGGGACCATCATCATCCTTCTGGGATCTTCATCATCCCGGTAGGACCATCATCATCCCACTGAGATCTTTCTCCCACTGGGATCTTCATCATCCCGGGATCTTCGTCATTCCGCTGGAATTACCATCATCACGCTGGGATCTTCATCATCCCAATGGGATCTTTGTCCCACTGGGACCATCATCCCCCCACTGGGATCTTCATCCCCCCACTGGGATCTTCATCATCCCACTGGGATGTCACCCAGCTGCTGCCACAGTGCTGGCACCGGGGAGGTCACAATCCCGTGCCCAGCTCAGGATCCAGAAAAAGAAGAAAGAAAGAAAGAGAAGAGAGGTTGGAGCGTGTCCAGAGATGGGAATGGAGCCGGGAGGGGGCTGGAGCAGCAGGAAGGAGCTGGGAAAGGGGCTCAGCCTGGGGAAAAGGGGGATCCAGGAGGGAATTTTCCCTCTTCACAATCCCTGACAGGAGGGTGGAGCCAGGTGGGACCGGGATCTGCTCCCTGAGAATAATGAACAGGAAGAAGGGAAACAGTTTAGGTTTGATTGGGGAAAACTTGAAAAATAAATAATTAACATATAATTATATATTTCAGTCTATAGTTATATGTGATTTATATAGTTATACTATTTGGTATTATTATTATTATTAAGCATTATTATGACCCCTTTTCCCATCTCCCCTATTCCCCACCGACATTTCTGAATGAATATCCCATTCCATCTGTTTGTCCTTGGGGGATCCCTCTGTGCTGCCAAAACAGAGCCAGGAGCAACCTAAAAATGCACCTTAAATATCTCCACTCCACAAAAAAGGGGACGTGAGGCTGTTTTTTCATGGAATTCCAACAGCCCCGGGCGCTGCAATTGGCCCTGGGATGAGCAGCAAATCCCAATTTCCTCGGATCAGGGCAAGGAAGTTTCTTTATTAAACTTTATTAAACTTTATTGTCCTTCATTGAACTTTGTTTGCTCTATTTTAAACCCTTGGGGTTTATTTTGTCCTCTCACAACCTTGGGTGCCTCCCTTAAATCGTGTGAGGCTGAGGAGAAAAGGGAAGCTGGGAGGAATAATAATAATAATAATAATAATAATAATAATAGCAGTAGTAATAGTAGTAGTAGTAATGGAAAACTCTTAATTAATCCCATTGGACTTTTCAGATCTGCCACAAAAATGGAAAAGAAATGTCCACGGGATTTAATTCCAGTAGCAGGGATGATCCTCAAGGAGAAAGTGTCCATGGGGGAGCTTGGAACAAAGAGTTTCTCCAAGCAGGATCATTCCAGGAATTTTCTGGAGAGTTGGATAACTCTGACCTTTCCCGGCTCTAGGAACCCCTGTTGTTCCCACAATTTTCACTTCTTTGTTTCCAATTCTTCTTCCACTTCTCCTTTTACTTCTGCTTTTGTTTTCTGGAGAAAACCACCAAGAAAAGGGGGAAAAGAAAACACAGGAAAAGAAGGAAAACGGAGTGTGGTGAAGAAGGAAAAAAAAAAACCAAAACATTAAATTCCTGCTCCTGCTGTTTTTATATTTTTTTTTTCAGTGACTGCAAACCCAGATAAAAAATTCCTTGTCAAGATTTTTCTCCAGGAAAAAACAGAGCCTTCCCAAACAATGATCCCTCTCTGCTGGCCTTGCCCCACTGACAACGCTCGCCCCTAAAAGATAACGGGGATGGGGTGGGAGGAACGGGACTCATCGGGGTTTCATAATTCCCTTTTATCCCACTGCCCCGCGGGCTGAGTCAGGGTGCCAGCACTGCCCTTCCTGCTGACAGGCTGCTTTTCCTCTTCCCCAGCGCCATTCATCGTGTTTTCCCTGCCTTTCTTTCCCTCTGACTCACCCCGGCTGGCCCCGTCACCCTGCTCGGAGCGGGCACTCGGAATGCTCGGCCTGACCCCCGGATCCGGGACTTTGTGTCAACAGGGGGGAATTTTTTGGCTCCTTCGCAGGGTTTTTTGGGATGAGGTTGCTCCGTTGGAATGCTGGCAGTTGTCCATGAGGGAATGGAAAGCAGTGGAATGTAAAATAATATGAAATATCATGGGATAACAGGATCTAAAAGGAGTCGATCCTATTATTTCATCCTGAAAAAACCTGCTGATATCAAAGGGGCTGCTCGTGGATTTGGGATCTTGGT